ATCTGTCATGGGCCCCTGTTGTCGCTTGTTGGCATATTCCGCTCGTTCAGATGCTCCTTCTCCTGCTACTCCTCTTCACGGATTCCGTCAGCAGTCTTTCTTGGAATCCGTTTCCAAGAGACAACAGTTTGCGAGCACGCACCCGACGGTGCAGAAGCTGAACGTCCTCCTGTCCAAGTTGCTGCTGCCAGGCTCGTAATCTGTCATGCGCCCCTGTACCGCCTCCTCATGCTGCTGCCAGGTCCAGAGTGTGTCATGGGCCCCCGTACCGACTCCTCATGCTGCTGCCAGGCCCGTAATCTGTCATGGGCCCCTGTACCGCCTCCCCATGCTGCTGCCAGGTCCAGAGTGTGTCATGGGTCCCTGTACGGCCTCCCATTGCTGCTGCCAGGCCCGTAATCTGCCATGGGCCCCCGTACCGACTCATGCTGCTGCCAGGCCCGTAATCTGTCATGGGCCCCTGTACCGCCTCCTCATGCTGCTGCCAGGTCCAGAGTGTGTCATGGGTCCCTGTACGGCCTCCCATTGCTGCTGTTTCCATCGCCACACTCTGCCATGTGCCACTTTCAGGTCTCCTCACACTGCTGGTGGTTTCCATTTTTGTCATAGGGTGCTGTATGGCCTCCCATTGCTGCTGCCTCCACCGCCACACTGTGGCTCCACACTCTGGTTTTGGCCCCGTGACTGCCCAAATGAGTGAAGTGTGCAGTGATTCTAAGATCGACGGCACTCATCTGCATGTCATACTGACTGACAGTATTATTTCTCTTCCCCAGCAGACTCCAAGGGCATTTAAATTAAAGGTACAGTGTTCTGCACTAATATTAAGTCTCTCTGAAGCCTAGAAACACCCTTTTTTAAGTTAAATTCACAGCGAATATATTCGACTCGAATCAAAATTTTTCCACGAATTCGCCGAATCAGTCGAATCGAATTTTTGAATACTTCGCTCATCTCTAGTGATTAACTCTGGACTTGGATAGCAGCCTTGGGAAACCCTGAGATACCCTAGATGTCTATATAAAGACTCCTCAATAACTCATCTAATCTCATCGGGAGTCGGGCTCAGCGGCAACGGCTGGGACTGAGTGCACCCTGGGACGGGAGATCCAGATCTGCCGGCACGAAAGGTAGGGGTGAGTTGCCGTGAGCAACAGCGGGACTTTTTTTTTTTATTGTGATACAACTGATTTTATAGCTGCAGTCTAATCGCACTCCTGAGTACTAGGGGGATGGAGGACTGTATTCATGGGGGTTCTCAGTGGTCCCCAAGTGGTGGTGGAATTGGTTAGATCACTCCTGCTCCCAAAGTAACAAATAGGAGAGATTAAAGTCAGCAAAGGAAAAAGTCTTTCCTGGGGACAGATAACACAGCAGTCGTGCATTAATAGTAAACTTAGTATAGTGGTAAAGGAGTAAACCCCCCCCCCCCCCCCTTGAAGCAAGTGCGAATACTAGTACAATAAGGAGATACCTACCGCTGCAGGAGAAAAGTCAGGATAAATTAACCCCTGATAAACAACAGGAGAGAACTACAAAAGGTATGGGAGATCACTCAAGGATGTCACTGGGGGGGCGTGTCCAAGATGGTTGACCGGCTGCATAGAAGAGAGCTCTGCCACCTCGGAGCTTTAATCCGCCTTCATCCTGGGGGTAGCAGGCTCCTACCACCACCGGAGACCCGTGTGGACCTGCCCTGCTGCATAGAGAGGGGAATCGGATCAGTCAAACCCCCCCTGGAGTGATGGAGGTTTGCAGCCTACTGGGGTCTACGCGGCCTGCCGTGGCCTCCACACAGATCGGATCCAGCCTAAGTCCCATCCCAGGTGCTGCTGCTCTGCTGTCTCGAAGCCTGGAGTGGTGAGCTGCTGTCAGGGGGAGCGTGGTGCCATCCACTGGACCCTAAATCCTGGGACTTGCGACCTGCTGGGGCCTACACTCTGGGAAGCATGTGCACCCATCCCCGGGGTGGTGCGGCTCGGTCTTGTCCGGATGAGTGGGAAGAGGTGGCTGCTGACTGGGGGGAACATCTGAGTAGTCTGTGGAGCCCCCCCTGAGGATCTGCAGGGCCCTGGCATTCCTGGGCCCAGCCTGGCTCCTGTTTCAAGCTTGGGTCCCTGCGGGGGTCCACACCTGTGTGGTACAGGTCTCCAACTTGAGTGAGGGGCTTCAAAACTGGATTATGGTTCCTATCTCCTCTCCCCCTCAAAGTTGTAGTGTCCTGAAGTGCCATGGATAGAGTGCTTGTCTCCTGCATGAGTTCAGCTTCGTTTATACTTATTCAGTCATATGGGAGGACTGCAGGGGCCCATTACCCGCATCCTGAGCCACCATGGCTGCATCCCCCTCCCAGGAACCCAACCCACTTACTGCACCCGCGGACTTTAATTCTCTCATGATAGCGATTACCAATTGTCAGACGGTGCTCACCACGAAAATAGAACACCTGCAGACTGATGAAGGATTGATCTGGAAAGATCTTGACACGTTGACAGCTGTTGAGCAACGCGTTGGGCCGAATGACAGCTGTTGAGCAACGCGTCAGCAATATGGAAGACACCGTCCACGACCATTCGGCAGAGATAGATGCACTGCGGGTTAAGGTCAAATTTCTTGAAACCAGAGCAGAGGATGTGGAGAATTGTAGTAGGCATAACAACCTCCATGTGGTGGGTCTCTCTGAGGGGACAGAAGGTGATGATCCTCTGCGGTTTACCGAGAATCTCCTTCATTCCTTGCTACCTCTTTCTCCTGTTATGTTTTTGGGGAGTTTTTAGTCCTTTTCCTTTGTTGCAAGGTACATTTGATCTCTTTTGTGGTTCAGTCTGTGCATGGTATCAAGCTTATATACTGATTCTTCTGCTGCATAGCTTACAGTTCTATGTTTTCTTCCCGGGATTCAGCCTGGGTGGTGTCAACTATGTTCTCAAATACCTATTTTATGGCATCTCCTGATTTGAAATGTATCTCCTGGAATGTGCAGGGCCTCAATCCTCCCTTAAAACGTTCCTTGGGCTTCTAATTTCTCAAATCCTATAATCCACATATTTGCATTTTGCAAGAAACCCACTTAACGGACCCGCTGATTGTGTTGTTGGATGTCCTGGACTTCGTGGAGGCGTGTAAGCATACTAAATTGTTTGTCTTCTATTCTCTCTAATATGCTAGAAGAGAAATTTTGTTGAAATGGAAACAGACGATCTCGGGTTGCACTTCCTCTGTATAAACTTACTTATATGAGCCGTAACAGTCCAGCTAAATTTGATAGAATATGGACTGGGTGGGTGGAGGCACAGGGCCTTACGGTATATTAATCGGTGAATTTACTTTGCGGGTATGTTAAGTTTGCACTGTCTCCCTAATGTTTTGTAATCTGCCTTCTCCCCTCACCTGTCTTTCCCCCTCCCACTTTTCCTCTCCCCCTCCCCCTTTTCCTCTCCCCCCCTTATCCCTCCTAACGGAAATGTTTGCAAAATTGGACATGTTTAGGAGAAATTAAATGGTGACAATACGTAACAATCTGGGTTGAATACTGTCACGAGTGGAAGAGGTAGAGGGGAAAATGGAGACACAGGAGCTTTGGATCATGCAAAGAGAACAGAGAAAGCTTGCATACAAATTAGAAGATCAAGAGAATAGAGAAAGAAGAAATAATTTAAGGATTTGCAGTTTGCCAGAAGAGTCCCTTGGGCAAGAACTGGGAGATAAAATAGTACATAGGATAAGGAGACCGCAAGGAGTGCCAACAGACTTACCCAGAGATGTGAACTGGACAGGTTCCATCAGTATGAGGACAGAGAAAAAATATGGAAAATGTTCAGAGAGATCCCTGGTATAAAATATGGAGAGATAAAGTTGCAAATATTTGCTGACATTGCATCTGAGACACTAGCTAGGAGAAGATACCTGAAACCGCTGTTGGAGCAGATGAGGGAAAATAAAATTCAATATAACTGGGGTTTCCCGGCCTGCCTGATTGGGTGGAAAGACGGGAAATCGTCAAGATTGAGATTCCCAGAAGAATGGAGTGGCTTTTGTAGAAAATTAAATTTACAGGAAATGGGGGTGGTAAGGGCTGGGAAAAGATGTTAAATAAAAGTAAACTGGTGTGGGGTGAGGGAGGTGAGGGGGGGGTTTTTTTCCACACCCTCCTCCCCCAGCTCTCTTTCCCCACACTCAGGTTGCAAGTCTTATACGTACGTATATGGAAAAGTCAGGAGGATTAGATGGGCAGTAGGAATCAGGCAGATGAAGAGAAGGTGAGGGCGGGTCGTCTGGAGGCTGAATGGGCTGCCAAGCTCTAAATATCCTATGTTGCGAGAGGGGGAGCGGAGTGGGCGTGCATGTTTAGAGCCGTTCCCCAATATAGGAATCGGCAGTGGGAAGGTCCCACAACAGATTCAAGGGCAAAACGTAGCCCCAAGGGTTCAGTGGAGGGGGGAGGGGTTGGGAAGGGAGGGATGGTGGGGATAGGAAGAAGAAAGGAAAATATGATAGGTTTGGAAGTAGGGAGAGAAAGGAGAAAGTCCATATCTTAAACTGTCTATATCTGTCCTCCCGTGATGAGAATGTTAGTAGGATAACGGGATAATATTTGAAATGAGTGTGATAAAGTTTATGACTTATAACATGAAAGGGTTAAATTCTCCAACAAAAAGACACAAGATACTGAGATACTTATTTTCCAAAAACTTGTGGCAACAAACGAGATCTGCAAAATACTCACCATGCTTCTTATCAAATTCTTTGGAGTGTCTACTTTCCAAAAAGAGGTAATTTTGGGGGGGTTGGTGCGAACCTTGCATTTCAGGGCCTCCAAAACTGTGATAGGTAGTCATTAAGTGTAATGAGGAAATAAAGCCCTTTAACTGCCTCCTGCCCACCATATAGTAAAATGACGGACACAAGGCGGTTCTCTCGTTCTGGGAAGATGTCATATGATGTCCTCTCATTCTAACCGTGCATGTGTGCCTCCGGGAGCGCGCAGTGCGGCGATCAGCGGTGCGCTGTGTCCCTCGAACACAGCGGATCACCGATCAACGGAAAGAGCCTAAGATGTCGGATCAGTCATGTGATCAGCTGTGTCCAATCACAGCTGATCACATGTAAACAGGGAAATGCCGGTTATTGGCATTTCTCTCCTCATGAGCTGTCACACTGACAGCTCGAGAGGAGAGCCGGTAATAAGCATCCCTCAGAGGGGACATGATGATCAGTGTGCCTTGATGATCTGTGTAGTCCCAGCAGTGCCACCTGTCAGTGTCCATCAGTGCCAGCTGTCAGTGCTCATCCATGCCACCTGTCAGTGCCCATCAGTGCCACATCAATGCCACATTTCAGTGCCTACCAGTGCACATCAATGCCACATATCAGTGCCCATCTGAGCTGCCTTTCAGTGTCACCCGTCAGTGCCACCTATCAATGCCAGTCAGTGCCACCTATCAGTGCTGCCAATCAGTGCCACCTATCAGTGCCAGTCAGTGCCGTCTATCAGTGCCGCCTATCAGTGTGCATCAGTGCCGTCTATCAGTGCCCGTCAGTGCTGCCCATCAGTGCCAGTCAGTGCCACACTATCAGTGCCGCCTATCAGTGCCACCTATCAGTGCCATATATGAGTGCTGCCTTTCAGTGCCCTTCAGTGATGCCTGTCAATGCCCATCAGTGCCACCTACCAGTGCCTCCTTATCAGTGCCCATTAGTGCCACCTATCAGTGTCCATCAGTGCAGCCTATCAGTGCCCATCAGTGCAGGCTCATTAGCGCACATCAGTGAAGGAGAAAAATCACTTATTTACAAAATTAAAAAAAAAAAAACGTTTTTTTTTTTTCAAAATTTTTAGTGGTTTTTGGTTTGTTTAGGAAAGAATAAAAAACCCAGAGGTGATTAAATACCACCAAAATAAAGCTCTATCTGTCACAAAAAAATTATATAAAAATTTTTTATATGGGTACAGTGTTGCATGACCACACAATTGTCATTCAAAGTGCAACAGCGCTGAAAGCTGGAAATTGGCCTGGGCAGGAAGGGGGTATACAGTTGCAAGAAAAAGTATGTGAACCCCTTGGGATTACGTGGAGTTTTGCATGAATTGGGCATAAAATGTGCTCTGAACGTCATCTAAGTCACAACAATAGAAGAACACAGTCTGCTGAACATAATACTACACAAACATTAGATGTTGCCATGGTTTAATTGCACATAACATGTAAACATTCACAGTGCAGGGAGGAAAAAGTCTGTGAGGCCCTAGCTTAATGACTTCTCCCAGAGCTAATTGGAGCCAGGAGTGAGCCAACCTTGTCTCCAATCAGTGTGATGATATTGGATGTGTTGCTGACAGCTGTCCTGCCCTTAAAAAACACACACCTGTTTTGGGTTTACTGGTTTCAAGAAGCACTGTCTGATGTGAACCATGCATCGCAGAAAAGAGCTCTCAGAAGACCTACGATCAAGAATTGTTGACTTGCATGAAGCTGGAAAGGGTTACAAAAGTATCTCCAAAAGCCTTGATGTTCATGTGTCCACGGTAAGACAGACTGTCTACAAACGGAGAAAGTTTAGCACTGTTGCTACTCTCCCTAGGAGTGGTCGTCCTGTAAAAATGACTGCAAGAGCACAGTGTAGAATGCTGCATGAGGTAAAGAAGAATCCCAGAGTGTCAGCTAAAGACCTACAGAAATTTCTGGCACATGCAAACATTTTTGTTGACACATCTACAATAAGGAAAACATTAAACAAGAATGGAGTACATGGGAGGACACAACGGAGGAAGCCATTGCTGTCCAAAAAGAATATTACAGCACATTTGAAGTTTGCAAAAGAGCACCTGGATGTTCCACAGCACTACTGGCAAAATATACTGTGGACAGATGAAACCAAGATTGAGTTGTTTGGGAAGAACACACAACACTATGTGTGGAGAAAAAAAAAGGCACAGCACACCAACATCAAAACCTCATCCCCACTGTAAAACATGGCGGAGGGAGCATCATGGTTTGGGGTTGCTTTGCTGCCTCAGGGCCTGGACGGATTGTTGTCATTGATGGGAAAAAGAATTCCAGAGTTTATCAAGACATTTTGCAGGAAAACGTACGACCATCTGTCCGCCAACTGAAGCTCCGCAGAGGATGGGTGATGCAACAGGACAATGACCCAAAGCATACAAGTAATTCAACAAACAATTGGCTGCAACAGCACAGAATACGCCTTCTGGAGTGGCCCAGTCAGAGTCCTGACCTCAACCCGACTGAAATGCTGTGGCATGACCTTAAGAGAGCGATTCACACCAGACATCCCAAGAATAATTGCTACACTGAAACAGTTTTGTGAAGAGGAGTGGTCCAAAATTACTCCAGATCATTGTGCAGGTCTGATCTGCAACTACAGGAAACGTTTGGTTGAGGTTATTGCTGCCAAAGGAGGGTCAACCAGTTATTAAGTCCAAAGGTTCACATACTTTTTCCACCCTGCACTGTGAATGTTTACATGTTATGTGCAATTAAACCATGGCAACATCTAATGTTTGTGTAGTATTATGTTCAGCAGACTGTGTTCTTCTATTGTTGTGACTTAGATGACGTTCAGAGCACATTTTATGCCCAATTCATGCAAAACTCCACGTAATCCCAAGGGGTTCACATACTTTTTCTTGCAACTGTAAGTGCCCTGTAGGCTATTGGTTAAATGCCTGCTTATTGGATTTTGGGGTCCTGTACTTGGCTAGACTGCCAAAACATCTCTCACATGTGGTACCCCCATACTCGGGAGAAGTAGCAGAATGTATTTGGGGGAGTAATTCCACATATACCCATGGCATGTGTGAGTAATAAATCATTTAAATGACAATTTTGTGTAAAAAAAAAATAATTTTTTTGTCATTTTCCAAAAACTTGTGGTAAAAAAATAAATTATTCTATTGACTCAACATGCCTCTCAACAAATAGTTTGGGGTGTCTACTTTCCAAAAAGGGATCATTTTAGGGGGTGGGGGCATTTTATGCCCTGCATTAGAAGTTTATGCCACACATCACTCACTCTGCTAACCTCCTGAAAAAAGTATTTTTTGCTAGGAAATTAATTTAAACCCCCAAACAGTATATTTTTTTTTAAAGCGAACACCCTAGTGAATAAAATGGTGGGTGCATAAATTTTTTATGTCACATAGTACTCGCACAGCGATTTTTCAAACGCAATTTAAAAAAAAACTTTTTTTTACTTTTAATGCACAAATACACAATATATTGGCCAATTATTTAGTAAAGTATAAAATATGATGATATGCTGAGTAAATAGATACCAAACATAACATGCTTTAAAACTGCGCATGCCCCGTGCAATGGCGACAAACTGCATATGTTTTTAATATCCATAGGTAATGTTTTAAAAGCCTTTACAAGCTACCATTTTAGATTTACAGAGGAGGTCTAGTGTTAGAATTACTGCCCTTGATCTGACGTTCACGGCAATACCTCACATGCATGGTGAAACCGCTGTTTACATACCGGAACAGGGTCAACGATTGTGCACACAGGTGTGGACGCGCCGGGGGGGGGGGGGGGGCGAGGGTGCTTTTTTATTATTATTTTGTAAGGTTTTTTGATTTTTCAAATTATTTTTACACTGTCCCTTTCATTTTTTTTGTATCACTCTTAATGCTATTGTACTTCAATGGGCATTGTCATATATTCTTTTTTGAGAAATCTGGGGTCTATCAGACTCTAGATATCTCCTCTGCCCTTACATTATCTAATCAAACCAAGATTGGTGTGATCAGATGCTTTCACAATTTACAAATGGCGCTGTTTATATCCTGAGAAACTGAACTGATTAAATGCTCATAGCTTATGATTTCTTAGACTATAGAGATGATTGGCACCACTCTGGTCTCCAATCAGCTCTATGGTCAGCTGGCAGAAACACTGGCTGCATTCTCAGGTTCCCGTGATGGCACGGGACTGCCCAAGAAAGCTGTGGAAGGCAGCAGGGGATGGGGGGGTCATCATCTCCCTCTGCCTGTAAAAGCAATCCTGCAGCTAATTAGCCACTAGGATTGCTTTTACATGAAAGCCGATTGCCAGCTGAAAAAAACAATACCATGGTGATGCCTGCAGCTGTAGGCATCAATCTGGTATAACCATTCAAAGTCCAGTGATGTACCAGTACGTCACTGGTCCTTGTTGGGTATATATGCTATGTTCTTTTTTTTTTTTTTTTGTATGCAGCCTATCTTGCCACTATTCCCCATGTAGTCTGGGTATCTGGGGGATCTACGTGACTATCTGTTCCATTGTAAATCTGAAACTTATAAGTATAGCCTGTTGCCCTCTCACAGCTCTTATACATCTTGGCCCCATATCTGGCACGCTTGCTGGGGAGAAATTGTTTCAATGCAAGGCGACCAGAAAAGTTAATGAGGGACTCATCAATGCAGATTTTTTGCTGGGTAGTATAGACATCTGCAAATTTTTGGTTAAGGTGATTTACGAGGGGCTGAATTCTGTGGAGCCGGTCAAATTCAGGGTCACCCTGAGGACGACAGAGTGTATTGTCGTTGAAATGCATAAAACACATTATACCCTCATATCTATGCCTGGCCATGGCAGCAGAGAACACGGGCATATGATGAATTGGGTCTGTGGACCAATACAACCGCAATTCATTTTTTTAGTAATGCCCATGTTGAGGGTAAAGCCCAAAAAATTTAAATTCGCAAACCGTAATGGGTTTCCATGCGAATGGTCTGGCAAGGTTTGAACTTGGGTTGGTGGCGATAAATTGTTGTGCATATAAATTGCTTTGATCCACAATCAATGCATACAGATATTCCATGAAAAACAGCTCCAAAAAAATCAAGGGGAGGAGTTAAATTTGCTGTTTCCACCTGAATTCCGGGTTGGGCAGTAAATGGGGGAAGTACGGGTGTTGCAGAATTTGTGGGCTGCCATAGCAATGCAGGTTTATTCTGTATGAGCGTCTTCCTGGCAATCAAGGGGTTAAATGTGATTGCTGGTGTACTGATGGGCAATCTGACACTATCTGGGAGGGGCGTGAAAACCAGGGGAGTGCAAATCATGTATATATATATGTGAATTTGCGCCCCCCGTGCTGCCCTGTAGCAGTATTTCTCTTATAGAGTGGTCAGGAAGTGGTTACAGACATGGTTTGTGTTGCGGCGTGAAAACCACAGGAGCACAAATCACGCATATATATGTGGTTTGATGTATATGTGATTTTGCGCACCCATGCTGCCCTGTAGCAGTATTTCTGCTATAGGGCGGTCAGGAAGTTGTTACAGAAGTGGTTTGTGTCATGGCGCTGCATTATTTTAACGGATAATTGTGCGGTCATGCAACCTTGCATTAAAATTAAATTTACATCCTTTTTTTACCCACAAATTGAGCTTTCTTTTAGTGGTATTTGATCACCTGTGCGTTTTTTATTTTTTGCACTATGAAAAAAAAGGACAATTTTGAGGAAAAAAAAACTATATTTTGGATTTTTTGCTATAAAACATGTCCAGTAAAAAAACTTAGTTATAAATTTAGGCCAAAATGTATTCCACGACATGTCTTTGCTAAAAAAAAT